ATTAACTCAAGGAGGAGGCGGAGGAGGAGAGAGAGGCAGCTTCACACAATTGTTAATGCTGCGGCAAAGTTTTTCCACAATTTAGTGGCATACAAATGAGTTCAAGTTTCACCTGCAGCTGAAGGATACTTCTTGGACAAGGATCAGAAGAAAAAATAAGGAGCAAAGATTAATTGGAGAGTTGAGAGGGGGGAGGATATATGAGGGCAAAGTTTGATCAAAGTTTCATTGATTTCTTTCTTTTGAGGTAAAGTTTTATAAATATTTTAATTTTTTATTTTATTTAATTTTTTAATTAATTCTTTAAAAAACCAACCTACCAAACTACCTCAAATTGAACACTAAAATAATCAATCTTACCTTTTTCTAAAACTACAACCTCTTCCGTTAACTACATAACTAATGAAAGTAAATTAAATAGGTTTTACCCTAGAGATTAATTGGGGTTTCCTTTTTCTCTGCCAACAATTTTTGTACATTTAATGGAGCAACACACACACACGCAATAAATAAACAAAATCAAGCATCAAATGGCCAAACACAAATTGTCAATTAAAAGGTATTTAAGCTTAATACCCAGGTCACACGGCCCCCGTCGAGCTCTTAATCCTCGTAAATTAGTGCAAAAATCAAGTGGATACCTTGGCACGCACAGAGGACCAGGGAACAGGAGAGGAATGAGGGGACCTGGAGGATTGGGTACGTAGGCCAACCGACACCAATAAAGCCAACAAAGCGTTTTTAGGGTTAAGTCCATGTCAAAGTGTCAGTTTAGTATCGGTATCATGTCATGTTGTCTGCTCGTTTCATTGTGGGGATGTGCTCTCCCCTTACGTGGCTCTTGTGTTGTTTTCGGCTGATTTTTGGCGGGGGGGTGGGTGTGTGTGTGTAGGGGGGAAGGAGGTTTTAATTTCGTGTGTGCCATGCGGCAACATCAGGCCAAACAGACGTGTGTTTTTGGACTGACCTCTAGCACCCCGCCTCAATGCGTGTGTATCTCTGGCAGCAAATTGCGTTGAAGGTGCAACGTTTTACTAATGAATTTAACAAGGATGCTGGCCCCGGCCAAAAAGTGGGTGGTAAAAGGGTTAAGCTGCACTGAGTGGAAAGTTTTTAATTTATTTGGTAATTAAAAAAATTAAAATAAAGTAAAAACTATTTTAAAATCTTAGAAATTCGAAGAAAAATAAGAAGCTTTAATATAGTTAAAAAATTCATTTTAAAAATGTTTAAAAAATCTGGCAGATTGCGATTTTGAAAGAGCTTTTAAATATTATTACTAAATAAGTATTATTAATAATAATTCCTCAACTTTTCTGAGTGCAACGTCAGGAGGAAGGAGCAGCACGTTGCAACAGCGTTGCATGCTCATTAAAATGTCAGGACAGAAAGCAGAAGGCAGCCGGCAGTCTGGAGGAGAGTCCGTCTGGGGGCATCAGCTGCACTTTGTGGCCCTGCTGTTTATCCTGCCAACATATTTTTCAAATGTTCCGTTTGCATAAGTGAAAACGGCCAAAAAAGGGAAGATAACACAGACACAGATATTCAACGAGGGGCAAGAGTCCAACATTGGCGTCAACACAAACACAACGTTTGTGTGTTTGGGAGAGGGTTAAGGACTAAGGGATATATGGTGGCGAAACTGCCAACAATGGCGCGTAAATTTACGACTCACCTACGCGACTAGACCAGGCCCAAAAAGTGTGGTAATGGAAGGAAGTCCGTGCCACATGTGTGTGTGTGCATGCGGCATATTTAAATTTGTTTACAGGTTGCGTGCCTGTTAATCCAATAAAATTGCGTAATTAAATTTGCGCTTCATTTGGCGCTTGTCACTGCTTTGTTATGGCGGTGACAAATTTTTAAACCTGTTGTGTGTGTCCCCAGAAAATCCAGAAATCCAACCCGACCCCAGTTTTTGTTGAAAAAAATGAACTGAAACCGAAATTGTTGTACACGTAGTAATTTTTCAATTGCTGCATAATTGAAGGCAAACCGAGGGACAAAACAAAAAAATTGGCAAAATATTGGCAGCAAATTGTCGGCATGACAAAGTGGTCCAGGATGCAGGAATCAGTATACCCCCATAGCCTCCGCCTCCCTCCTTTTCCAGCCTGTTGATGTGTGGCTTTGTTTGCCACACTCCTTTTTTTTACACACTCTCGGATTCGTGTCCTCTGGGGAAAAATTGGAACGTTGACTAGCAATTGTGTGAAAAATGATTTTTAATTGTTGGGCGTTGAGTGTCGAGTGTTTTTGTGGCCAAACCCATGCCATGGAAAATGGAGGGAAAAAAACGAGAAAATCTGTGAAACTCTTTTACATTTTGCGGGCTTTTTTATGCTGGCCTTCGGGGTTATTCAATGATAAAGCAATATGCAATTGTGAAATTGATAAGCACAAGTCGGCGACGACAACACACGGCGCTCATTACTTCCGCTCCTTTCTGGTGGGACGGAGGAAGTCGATAAGGGTTCATACCGATAAGACCCCTACTTCGACGACGGCAATGCAGCCGGGGGCTGTGAGCCGCGATTAACCCGAACTCTCCACGGCGGTTTACTTGAAAGTGGCTGACAATCTCAGAAGCTAGAAGTGCAAGGACACTGGGAGAAATACTAAAAATTCTTTAAATTATAGAAGAAAAAAGTGGTATATAAAGGACGTACATAAGTCTGTATGATTTGATTCACAATTATATATGATTTTCTTATTGTAATTACTAAATATAAAATTTCTTAAGAATTTCTTTTCCTATATTTTTTAATTTTCTTCAGTTTTTTTTCTTAGTACATGAGGCCACGGCTTGTTCTTCTAGTGCCTAGCACCGAACGTCACTTTTCCTTATCGGCCCGCTTAAGTTGAAATTGCGCCTCGCTTTTCAACGGTTGGCAATGGTATAATGAGGTTGGCACTGCCTCTTCTCTGTGATTATGATTACTTTAAGTACAGCCCCCAGAGTCACTGGCAATCTCTGGCACCCCGTTACCCCTGGGCTTTGTAGTGCCCGTTCCACATTACTCACTCAGTAGTCAGTTCTTCTGGCGAAGCAACATTGTCCAGTTTCTTATATCAAAATATACATTCATCTGTTGCGTAGTTTTTTACAAAGACGTCAAAGGGTTTCTTATTCAAGAGGTATATAGAGTTTATAAATTTATAATTAAATAATAAAAGGTTTATTAAAAAGTTAGTAAACAAAATTATAAAGAAAATAACTAGCAACCCCTTCAAAATACATTACAATTTTAGATTGTGGGATTGTAATTCTTCTTAAACTTCAAAACAAAAATATATTTTATTAAAGTACTTAATTTAGAAAATATTAAATAAATTCTCAAATAAAGAAACTATTTAAACAAAAACGTAAAAAAATACCCATCTAAATATTTGGAGAAGATCAACTATATTCCTCTTATTACCTATTTCTGATATTGATTACCCTTTTTTTTAATTTAAAGAGCATTCCAAGCTTCGGTTTCTGGATTTTTAAATGCCATTCTAGGGCGCCTTTTTGTCTCCCGTTGGCGAGACTCGATCCGCGAGTCTTCTGAGATAATGCGGAAAAAATGCAACAAATGGCGATGGCGGCGGCTTGTGCCACAATTTTTGGCGATTAAAAAAGGATATGGAGAGTGGTGAGGGATCGGATCGGGGGAGGATATATGATATGCATATAGACTCTGGTCATAATGATGAAATGTTATTTGGCACACAGTTCCAAGAACTGAGAACCGAGAGTCGCGATGAGATGAGAAGCTGTCGTAGCTGTTATCGTTGTCGCATTTGCTTTTGCTTTTTCTTTATGCTTTTGCTTTTTGCTTTGAGTTTAATTAAAAAGTTGCGCTTTGTGGCAGTCCGAAAGCACTCACATCAACATTCAAATTCATATTTATATTTTCGTTTTTATATAATTTAAAACAAACCCCAATGCAATTTTAAGGCGTATCCGGGCAATGAAGATTTGGTTGTTAAAAAAATTAAGAACTTGAACAATATATTTATAGAAAATACCACTTATATCCTTTTAAAAATATTAACAAAACATTCTTGAAAAACAATAAATTTACATCCATACAAGTGCATCCTTTGTTTCTTTCTCCTGGCCAGCTGGTGGAGCTGGAGAACCCGATAAACCCCAGAGCAAATGTTAAGGAAGCCGAAAGGATGCGATATTAGTGTGTGCAAGATATTAACAGCATATTTGACATAACAATATGGAGAGTGTCCTGCCAAGGCAGTAACAGCAACAGGAAGCAATTTTTCATCTTATGCTAGTTTTTATTAGCCACTCAGTGCAGCCGCCGCCTCCACTCTTCGCCCCACTTCAAGGCATTCATGGCATCCTCATAAGGATGCTTCTCTCGCTCCTTGGATTCTTGGCTTAGCCAGGGACATGCTTGGGCAGCTCATAAGACGGCATAAAGTATGACAGACATTTTGGCAACACTTTGCAGACCGTTAGCAGTCCCGGCTTTTTAAATTGTTAATGCTAAAGGGACTCGAGTGGGAGTGGCTATGGTGGGAATATCCCCGGGAAAGACAAAGGAGCTGTCATAATTCGCTGCAAAATATTGTCACCCCGAAAACTGCGCTCATATGGGAGCCAAGTAGCCTTTTCTTGGCTCCAGTTTTGGCCAAGACATTAGTTGGCCATTATATGGGGGGCTCCAATCCGGGACTCTCCAGCTGCCCGGAAGTTCGCGCCATTTTCTAATATTGTAACGGAAGCAATTAATATGATGGTAACAATGCAAGAAATCCCAGTCACAGTCTCGTCTTAATGGTAATATGCTCTCCATCAGGCCTGGTTATGAGTTTGGTCTGGAAGTGGTAATGTGGCGGTAAGTAATTCAACAGGATATGGAAATAACCCTTCGAGGAAGTCTGTATATTTTTAAGAAAATATGGAAGAAAAAGTGTCTGAAAGCCTTGAATTGTTGTGGAAATTAAATAGATATATAATAAATATTCTTAAACAGACGAAATCCCAGCAAACTTACAATTTATATGTCATATTTACATAATATTCCTCAAATTTTAAACAAATACTTCCTATTTTAATTGATTTCCCAACATCACCATGTCTTGCCCCAAAAAATTCAACAAAGAAATGCTGGTGGCGTTTGGAGCCGCCTTTATGCACTACATCGAAAAGCACAAGCTGATGGAGGTAATGAGTCGCATTCTGGCAGAGATTCTGGTGGCCGATGATGTCACCGATGTGCGTCTTTGGATGGGCCAGAATATCCGAAGAATTGGAGTTGACATATATTCCAAATCCTTGGATGCCTTCCACCGCGGAGTGCAGGGGGATTTCTACCAGTTGCCAAGGAACTTTTATCACCGAATCGTGATCCATGGCAAGCCGGGATCGGGTCGCAAATCCCTAGCTCATGTACTGGCCCAACGCTGGGATCTGCTAATCCTGGACGTTGATGTCCTTATCTATCATAGCATTAATGGGGCCAAGCAGAACGAGCACACCCGTCTGCTGCAGGAGGGCATCGAAGAGGATTGTGTCTACAAGAGATCCGAGGCTGTGGGTAATCTTATCCAGAGTCGGCTCCTGCAGGATGATGCCCTACACCGTGGCTGGATACTTTTCAATTATCCAAACAACAAGTGCGAGGCCAAGCATCTTTTCGAGGGCTTCACCGTGCCCCCAAATAAGTTCATATTTCTGCAAATCGATGAACGCATGGCCAAGATAAGGATCCTGGTCAATAGCTACTCTCCGGGGCCACAGTCAAATATCAGTTACCTGGACCGTCAGATGCAACAGTTCCGAAAGAGTGAACCCGCCTTGAATGCCTATCTAAGCCAGCGCCGTGAGGTGATCTACGTGGATGCCACACCTTGTTTCGAGCAGGTCAAATGCGAAATTATCTCCCAACTGACCAAAACGCCCTACATTCTGGGCAAGAAATACGGCGAGGCGAATGCCTTAGTCTGAATTTGATACCAGGCAAAGTGCCTAGGCTACAAAATTGACTAAAAATGTGTGTTTGAAAGTCCTTTCTCTGATTACTCTCGTTATTATTATTATTTGCTCAAGTGTCTGACATTGTTTGTGTTGTTATTGCCCTGCTTTTTTCGTATTTATAATTTTTATTTTTCCTTTTTGGGGTCAGGCCTATCAGACTTCTGACCAATTCCCCCATCCCCAAACAGCAGAAAATATGGCTACGTTTTCGTTTAGGTAAACAATGAACGCAATAGAAACTCAAAGTAGGAAGGCACTGATGGGTAGAATTGACGACAAGATACCCTCTAAAAATTATAGAAAAATATATAGTATAAAAAATATATATATAACATTCTTGAATCTTATTTAAAAGGTTTCTATATCTAACTAAAGAAGTTTGAATACCAAAAAAAATATTTTAAAAAATATCTAAAGCTGCCAGCAAAATCTATAAATTAAATATTATTAAATATAAATTGTTATCTTGTGTAAAGTATAGTTTAAAGTATAGTTTTTCCAAATTCTAAATCCATTCTCTCCCCCAAAACCCCCCTTCAATTCCATACACCCCTCATTCACTCTACCAACACTGAGTATGAAAAGTGATTTGCTATTTGAATTTTCCACCACTGAAAAATGTGAACAGAAAAAACACAATAAAAACCGAGAAAAAACGAGGCGGAAAAAACGAGAGAAAAACAAATGATTTTATGACCACAACTTAAGTGCTCAATTTTTAATTGTTTCACGACGCTGATAAGACCCGCGGAGGCAACTCGTCGCAAGGCGGGGCGGGGTGATTTTTTAATGGCACCCAAAAGTTCAATCAAAGTTTTATATACTTTCCCTCAGCTGTCCGCGGGGCTTTGGGGTTCAAATTAGTCGCCAGCAGGTTGATGATTATTGAAGTGAATATCTTTATTCCTTGAGATGGTCCCCAGTGAGTCGTAATAACACACAGCGACCCAGGCTCACGAATAATTAAAAAATACACTAAATCGTTAACAGAAAATAAAATTTATACGAAACAGGAGAGCAGGGAGGTTTTGTCTAACAGAAGAAGAGATTTTTAATAAGTTTTATATGTAGGAAATATTTATAAAAATTCCAAATAAGTAAATAAACTAAACAACTTTTACAATACTCTGGGATTTTATTATATCAAAAATATTTTCCTTTTTCACTGCTTTTATATTTTTAAAAATTTTCGTTGATATTTTTAGAAGTTCCTCTACTTTCTCCTCCTTAACGCACCACCTTGATGTCAATGGTGAAGCAGCAGCGCTTGCCACTGGCAGGATCCTTAATATTCCAACGGATGGTATAGGGACTTAAGGGGAACTTGGCCTCAATGGGCACATCGGTGGTATAGGTTTGCTTGACGCCGTTTTGCGCCGGGCAGGTTGTAGACTTGCAGGCATCTCGCTCCAAGGTGGGCAGCATCAGCTCCTCCTCTTCGGACTTGACCCAACCCAAGGTTATATGCAGCTGATCGGCATTGAACTTGGGCACGAAGTCAAAACTTATCTGGGTGGGTCGTCGTCGCCGGATGTTGCAGGCCTGCCGCTTCTCGGCCTGTGGACAGGGATTTACTCGCACCTCCTGAATGGTGCAGGTGTCCTCGGTGCCCGGACACGTCTCGAAGTTGACCACCTCCGCGAAGACGGAAACGGAGGCGAGGACCAGGATTAGGGCCACAGCCAGCAACGAGCTCAGACGCATCATGGCGAAACGAAAGTCGGACACGGAATGCAAGCAATACCATTTGGACCGTCTACATTTCTGATTTTAAAGCAGGCTTATCTTCAAACCCGGGGACCTATTGAACTCGCGCCTATCGGCATGTACTGGAAGCGGTCTGAGGCGTGTCTCAGTCGATTAGATTGGGAATGGACTAAGCGTGGTTATACCCTGTCAGAAAATGGGGGTATATACATATGTTTAAGAAGGGGAACTTAAAATTCTTGAAAAGCAAACTATAACTAGTAAGGCATAATTGTTATTTACTGGAGGTTCCTTGTACTATATTTTAAATATATTTTGAAACATAAATCAAATTATATATTGCTCTCTTTGGACAGAACTAAACCCTATATTTATATAACCAAATAAAGAAGAGTATTTTAGGTTTGTTATATCCCCAGTTCAGGCTTTTTTCTTATCACAAAAAACTCCTCTGTCCGTTGTACTATCACCAAGCTGACCGACTACGTCAAGGTAAAACGAGCCTAATTAATTAATATATTATAGACGAAGAAAGTCCATTAGGCCGTTGACAAACACTAGTCACCCGGAAATTTGAGCCAAACAAAAGAGTTCAAATGGTATACCATTTACAAAATGATTCTAAAGACAAATGATGTCCAGTTGGGGATGCTTGTCAATGCCCTTGTAGCAGTTCTAAGGCATCTGCACAACCAATTGATTCCGATTCCTGCACCCCGTGCCATATGCCAAATAAATCGTCACACTTTTCAGTGTCACAAAAACCTCGACATTTGTCAGTCAGGCCAAAAATGCAGATGAACAAGACGAAGCCAAAGACGAGCGCGCACGTCTGAAATTGGAGACGAATGCCGCGGCATTTCTATGGGGGATTCTCTATAGAAGTCTATATAGTATATCCACTTGGGCTATCGAGCTGGGAGCTGTCAATAGGAGGCAGCCCGACAATTGCACGGCTCATTTGCGGGAAGGGCATGTCAACAATACGGAGACAACAAACAACAGGCAGGGCGATTGACAACCTGACACTCTACGGCATCACTTCGACTAAGTGCACTGGCAGAAAAATGGGTCTTGTGAATATTAAAATTTAATCTTAAAAAAATCAAATCTCTGGAGAGAATGTGATATTTTTATAACGAAAAGTTGAAGCTAACATTTTTGTTTCATACTTTTAAAAGCTTTTTTAAAATATTTTAAATTTTTCTTGTTCTTCTGAGAGAATAATTCATACTAATTATTAGGATTTTTTCTGTTTTCTTGCTCTAAACTTTAATTTTCTTAAATTTTAAGTTATTTTTATAAGTTCATTTCATGATATTTAAAAATTTTTCCGAATGATTCGGTTTTTTATTTAACTTTTAGAGTTTACTTTTGTTTTTACATTTTTAGAGCGCTTTATAAATTTCTTTAAAATTAAAATAAATATAAATAAACAAATAATTTTAAGATAAAATTTCAGTAAATATTTTTCCAAGTGTAATTCTACAGTGCAATTGGATGCAGGAGGGCTTTCCTCTTTTATAGATGAAACCCCAGGAGGATGCAATTAGCCGCTGGCAAAGCGCTACATTTTCCTAGTTTCCTCTTTTTTTTCACCCAATTTTCCGTATCTTTGTTTTCATATGCAAAACATGTTTTTTGCGCGTTCTCAAATTATATATTTTTCAAAAATTGATAGAAAAGTTTGGCAGCCAAAGCATAATTAACACTCGACAAACGCGTTTTCCGCCGCCGCCGATTTCCCCTAATGTTTTTCCTGCATAAATTATATGGAAATTTCTACCCCTCTTACCCTTATTTTTTTTTGTCTTTATTTTTATCGTCGCGGCAACGACTTTGCGCCTTTTTTTTATCAAAGTCCAGTGAACGGTGAATCAACAGAAGCGAAACCCAAAGCGAAACCAAAACAGAATTAATTCATTAAAGAAATATGCAAAGCATTAAAAAAAACAACAAAAATAACAGCGAAAAAAAATGGGAAAAGTATCAAGACGGGGTGCCACACAAAAAAAAAAAATGATGAAATTTATGTTTTATTACTTAATGAACTTACCGCAAATTAAGCCAAGGGTGGACGCGGGCAAGCGGCTCAAGGGAGCAACTGAATCGGAGGCCTTGTCTTCAATTAATATGCAGAAAATGTCAACATGGACTCATCAAAGTGGCAGCTGGAAAGGCGAGAAAATCCTGTCCGCTGTCCAGGATACTTGAGACGCCCAACAAGGAAGTGTCCGGACTGCAAATTGGTTAGCAATTAATGCTGACCATTTTTTTAATTGAACACACGAAACGGACAGAGGTCAGCGAGGGAGAGAAGATTTATTGGAGATTGGTTAAGGGGGTAAAGCCTTTCATTGGGTCTCTTTTTGTGGGAAAAATATTTATTTAAATTTATTTCTTTGAATTTAAGATATTTTATTGGATTAACCATATTAAAATTCCTTTTTTATAGACATCACAAACATTTTCTATACCATTTACAAACCGCTAATTGATTTTTAATTTGTAAACTTTTTGGTAACTGAATTTAAAGGTTTTCCGCTTCCTTTTTCTTACGTTTTTTTCTTGCTAAATTTAACAGAAATTAACTAAATATATTTCATTAAAAATAATCATTCTAAAAAGCAAATACCTAAGACTCTATCAACAAATCCTACATCCTTTCAATTAACCAGTACTCTCGTTTTACTCTTTCATAAATTGCAGCTGATGCCAAAGCCGGCCATCATTTGTGGGTTAAATGTAGCCTGTGATTTGCCCAGATCTTAGAGTCACTAATGTGACACCCCTCGACTCTCCCTTTTATATATAAAACCCCTATTCCCCTGCGATTTGCCTTGAAATGGGGGCCGGCGAACTTGAGCAAATCACCTCAAGGGGCCATAAAAAAAGCGCTGCACGTTAAGGCAGAGAATGGAAAATCCAAATAAAAATAAGAGCACAGCCAAAAGCCGCCGCAGCAAAACGAAAAAATAATGAACGCTGGGAGATTTTTATTTCTTGGAATAATCTAGCGAGCACACGACTAATCTTCGTTTAATTTCATTTGCGCCAAAGCAAACCGAAATTGAAATTCGCAGGGGGGTAAAGAAAAGCTAGAATGGGCTAGAATGGGGAGTGGGAGTGGGTGTGGTTATGGGTGGTTGGAAATACCTACATTTACTGAACTGGCAAGGACAATGTAAGGACATTTCGGCGAGCAGTGCAACATTTCATTGGTTGACTCGCCGTCGCCTGGGAGATCAAAAGTATGCGACACCGTGGCTTAATTCGATTTTAACAATTGCAGCCAGCCAATGGCAAATGCCAAAGGACTCGACGAGGTCCTTGCTGGCTCTGGTTCTTCCCAAAGCCCCATTTTCTCCTCTAATTGAGGCGAGGGCGAGAGTGAGGTCCTGGCGCTGCTTTTCCCCGAGGCACATAAAATTAATCCGACGTGTGGCGCCGGCTTCTTTGTCAGCGTCTTCCAGCGATTTGAATTTAAATGTCGCTACTTGTTTTTTTATTCCTCCTTTTATTTCCACTAAGCCAAGGAGGGCAAAGAAAATATAAATAAATAAAAAGAGAAGAGCCACGTCAAGTCGAGTCAAGGAACCTTCGCGAATTGAATTAAACGTGTCCTTCGCCTCCCCTCCAAGAAATCCGGACTTTTTTTTTAGGTGTGGACAAAGGGACAATAAATGATACCCTCTCCCCATCATCATCATCATCATCCTCATTTCAGTGTATTGAAAATTTTATTGCCTGGAATAATTAGGCGAATTAAGCACACAAATTAATTGCCACTTACTGGCAAGCATATGTGAGAGAAAAATATTTAAGCAAGGGGAAAAAATTAAGGAAGGGAAAGGGAAAGACAGTTCAAACTGATTTACTTTTATAGGCACAAAGCTCCGGCTGAATTTACGAGTTCTTTGTTTCTTTGAAACTGCTGATAAAAGTAAACTAATCACACTTGGAGTCAATTGCTGGCAGAGTAGAGTGAGCTCACTATTATCTGCTGATGTTTAATTGATCCCACTCACTGTGGAGGTGAAAAATATATAGGGTATGAAATATATATAGAATTTTCGGGGTTGATTCAGCGGTTTTCTTGGAAGTGTTTGGTAGCAATCTATGTGTCTTTTTTCTAGGAAATTTCACTTTAAATATAAAAAGTAATCAATAATGGTTTTTCAATATATATACCATGTTTTGTAGCTATCTAAGGCTCTTATTTAATTTATAAAAAATATGTTTTTAAGCCTGATTATATGTAGTTATCACACCAAAACCCCTTTTAATCTACCACCTCATATACCCTTTTAATATTTCCTCTCCTGTCCAAGTCCAAATCATCAGCTTTTCCCCCAAATCTTGTACAATGTAACTCTCTTCCCTTATACTATATACTTTCCCCTTCGAATTAGTGGAAACATATGCATCATGCTTGCAGGCGGCAAACAAAAACATTTCATGCAAAAAAGGTTTTTAATTTAAATTTCTTGACTTGACGTGTGGCATGTGCCGGCGTTGTCGTCTTTGTCCCCCTGATGTCTGGGTCGTCTCTTTGCCCCGAGTCTCGAGTCTCGAAAGAAACTACCCACATATATACGGACGTACATTGGCCATGCACAATTGACGCTTTACATTGTTCTCAAGAATTATTATGTGGTTCCCAGCATGTGTGTTTCCCAGTTGTACCCCGAGATCCCTTAGAAAACCTTATCACTTTACCTACAGCAGCGGCAAAGCAGAGAATTGGTTACAATCTCACCCAAAAGGATGGCCATTTTATCTGGGCCATCAAGTCCAACACACATGTGGCCAGGCCAACCCCCTCGGCCTCAAAATTGAATCCCTTTTGTGAGACGAGGCAATGGAGGTGAGTGTGTGCTCCTTAACCCACTCAACTAGGTCGTTTTTGAGAAAAGGAACTCTAAAAACACTTAAAAAATATATAAAACATAAAAATATGAAGATAAGAATTTAATATAATAATAGTTTGTATATTTAAAGGTTTTAATTTTATATTTTACTTGTAATTAAAAATATA